GACTTACGGGATCACCAGGGGCGGCCGAGTCTTCTTCACCAACGAGGAGGCCAAGAGCACCACCTGGCTGCGCGCGTCACCGGCGAGGCCGTGGCCACCGGACACCGGCGGCAGAGCACAGATTTGCCCACTGGCTGGGAAGAAGCATGTACCTTTGAAGGTGCGAGATACTATATAAACCATAATGAAAGGAAAGTGACCTGCTAACATCCAGTCACGGGACAACCATCACAGGACAACTGCATTTTTGTGGTGAATGAACAGACTGTTGCAACCATGACATCTGAAGAAAAGAAGGAACGACCTATGAGTATGATAAATGAAGCTTCTCACTATAATGTGACTTCAGATTACGCAGTGCGTCCAATGAGCCCTGTAGGCAGAACTTCAAGAGCTTCAGAAAAAGTTCATAATTTTGGAAAGAGGTCAAATTCAATTAAAAAGAATCCTAATGCACCAGTGGTCAGACGAGGTTGGCTTTATAAACAGGACAGTACTGGCATGAAATTGTGGAGGAAACGCTGGTTTGTGCTTTCTGACCTTTGCCTCTTTTGTTATAGAGCTGAGGAAGAAGAGGGTATCCTGGGAAGCATACTGTTACCTAGTTTTCAGATAGCTTTGCTTACCCTTGAAGATCACATTGATCGCAAATACGCTTTTAAGGCAGCCCATCGAAACATGCGGACCTATTATTTCTGCACTGACACAGGAAAGGAAATGGAGTTGTGGATGAAAGCCATGTTAGATGCTGCCCTAGTATAGACAGAACCTGTGAAAAGAGTGGACAAGATTACATCTGAAAATGCACCAACTAAAGAAACCAATAACATTCCCAACCATAGAGTGCTAATTAAACCAGAGATCCAAAACAATCAAAAAAACAAGGAAATGAGCAAAATTGAAGAAAAAAAGGCATTAGAAGCTGAAAAATACGGATTTCAGAAGGATAGTCAAGATAGACCCTTAACAAAAATTAATAGTGTAAAGTTGAATTCTCTGCCTTCTGAGTATGAGAGTGGGTCAGCCTGCCCTGCTCAAACTGCACACCACAGACCAGTCAATTTAAACAGTTCTGAGAACAAAATAGTCAATGTTAGCCTGGCAGATCTTAGAGGTGGAAATCACTCCAATACAGGGCCCTTATACACAGAGGCTGATCGAGTCATACAGAGAACAAATTCAATGCAGCAATTGGAACAGTGGATTAAAATCCAGAAGCGGAGGAGTCATGAAGAAGAAACCAGAAGAGTAATTTCTTACCAAACATTACCAAGAAATATGCCAAGCCACAGGGCCCAGATTATGGCCCGCTACCCTGAAGGTTGTAGAACACTCCCAAGAAACAGCAAGACAGGGCCTGAAAGTACCTGCAGTGTAACCCCTTCTACTCATGACAAGACCTTAGGACCTGGAGCGGAAGGGAAACGGAGGTCCATGAGAGATGACACAATGTGGCAGGTCTACAAGTGGCAGCAGTGTCCGTGTTATAACAAACAGAGCACCCTCCCTCGACACAGTTCTTTGAGTAATCCCAAAACCATGGTTCATACTTCTGACCAGACAATGCACTCTGTTCCCACATCACCTTCCCACGGGTCAATAGCTGCTTATCAGGGATACTCCCCGCAACGAACTTACAGACCGGAAGTATCTTCACCAGTTCAGGGAGGAGATGTGACAATAGACCACAGACACAGTGCCCACCACCCTAAGCATGTCTATGTGCCTGACAGAAGGTCAGTGCCAGCTGGACTGACTTTACAGTCTGTTAGTCCCCAGAGCCCCCAAGGGAAAACACTATGACAAGATGAAGGTAGAGGCACATTATACAAATACAGACCTGAAGAAGTAGATATTGATGCCAAGTTAAGCCGATTATGTGAGCAAGATAAAATGGTGCATGCTCTGGAAGAGAAACTTCAGCGGCTCCACAAGGAGAAATACACATTTGAGCAAGCTTTGCTATCAGCCAGCCAAGAGATAGAAATGCATGCAGATAACCCAGCAGCCATTCAGATGGTGGTGTTACAAAGGGACAGTTTAAAAAATGGACTGCTTAGTACATGTCGAGAACTTTCTAGAGCCATTGCCGAATTGGAACGAGCATGGAGAGAATATGGTATGTTAGAATACAAAGTGACTATTACCAGGAAGCAGATACAAGAGCAGCTAGATCACCTTGGTGAAGTTCAGCCGGAAGCAGCAGGAATTCAGCGAGCACAGACTCAGAAAGAATTTTGACTAATTCAAGATGTCATGGAAGGACTGAGTAAACACAAGCAGCAAAGAGGTACTACAGAAATAGGTATGATAGGATCAAAGCCTTTCTCAACAGTTAAGTACAAAAATAAGGGTCCAGATTATAGACTCTGCAAGAGTGAACCAGAGTTAACAACAGTGGCAGAAGTTGATGAATCTAATGGGGAAGAAAAATCAGAACCTGTTTCAGAGATAGAAACTTCAGTTGTTAAAGGTTCCCATTTTCCTGTTGGAGTAGTCCCTCCAAGAACAAAATCACAACACCCGAATCTTCGACAGTAGCTTCATAGGTAGCCTTGAGGAGAACTAAGAAGATGGTGGATCTAAGAACGGACAGACCAAGAAGTGCAGTGGAGCAGCTCTGTCTGCTGAAACTACTCGACCTAGGATGACTGTGGAAGAGCGGATGGAAAGAATGAGAAGACAGCAAGAAGCGTGCCTGAGGGAAAAGAAAAAAGGATTAAATGTTATCGGTGCTTCAGACCCATCACCCTTACAAAGCCCTTCAAATTTAACGGATAATCCATTTAGGACTTCTCAGATTCAAAGGAGGGATGATAACATTAAGGAACTGGACACTGTCATTAGAGAAAATGATGTAAAGCCAGACCGTGAAACTCCTGCAGCAGAAATTGTTCAACTAAAAGAAGATGAACCCCAAAATGTGGACTTTGGCAAAGAGTTAAAAAAAAAACTGAAAATATTTCGTATCAAATGCTTTTTGAACCTGAGCCAAATGGAGTAAATTCTGTGGAAATGACAGATAAAGAAAGAAACAAAGAAAAAAATGCCTTAGGATGTTATGTACAGCCCTCAGGATGAAACACAAATCACAAATTACAAACCAGAAGACCATCTTGAAGAAAATGCAAAGAACAATGCTGACGAACAGGAAGAAACTGTTATTTCTTACGAATCAACGCCTAAGGCTTCTAGAGGAAATCAAACAATGAAAGTGAAAAGTCTTTCCCCATCTCCTGAGTCCTCAGCATCGCCTGTTCCATCCATTCAGCCACAGCTCACATTTCATGTGTGTGTAGTCTCAGAAGAACTATATTGACTTCTGTTGAAACCATTCAAAGCTAAAGACGTGGACCTTCAGCAGTGTAAGAAGATATCGTACAGATTTTTAATGTGCAGTCTATTGCCAGAGCTTACTTAGTTGCTGATTTCCAGATTTCGATGTTTCTTAAGTCTAGGTGAATTTCTTTTTTTT